GTAGGTATTTACTTTTTTCAAATAATTTCATAACTACAGGGTGCCTCACGTAAAAACAGGAAATTTTAGATTTACTATGATGAAAAAAAATAACTATATATTTTACTATATGAATGAATTAAAAATATTAACTAACATATAAATTTTTTAACCATTTTTTGTTCTAAGATGCTGCAGTTATCAAATTTTCAATGTGAGGTGATTGTTCTCTTTAAGAAAGAACATCCAACTTGGGGACTGGAAAAATGTCAAGAAATTTTGCCAGAGTTTTCTAGTTTGAACACCACATTTAACATTAATGTTTTTGTTCTGTTTTAAGCTACTTAATTTCTATCCTTTTGTTTCAAATAACTGTAACAAAAATTCCAACAATTAAATAAACTGTACCAAATTTCCTGTTTTTTTGTAAAGCACCTTGTATTAAACTTGATTAGATTTGTGTGTGTGTAAAGAAAATAGAATATCAACTAAGAATATGTTATTAAGTTTAGGATTGTCTTTTTCTCTTGTTGCTTTAAAGATGTCTGTATTTTGGTATTGAGCAAATTCAAAATTGTTTATTACTTAATAGTGAGAGACAGTGATGTATACCATATTTGAAGCAACCCCAACTTCAATAAAGCATGTGCAAGAAAAAGTGTAAATTAGTGTATTTGTTTGAAGTAGTATGACCAACAAGAGTCAATAGTCTTTCCACTGCTATCTTACAAGTTATCATCTTAGGCAAAAGAGGAGACCAACAGCAAAAAAAATGGACTAACAGTATTGCTGAGTGGGGACTGGACTATCATTCAGAGAGATTCAAACATTGGCATGCAACCAAGACATATGGAGGGAAGATGTACAGATGTTATGAGATTGATGAGGATGAACACTTCTGCTGCTGTAAACATACTTATGTCTTAACAAAATTTACATTGTCTTCTTTTGACATATAAATTATCAAGAAAGTGTGTGAATGTCAGTCCTTTGCATTTTTGATATAAACTAACTAGCACTATTTCTTAACTAGCATAGACATAAACCACCATACAATGCAACCAATTTATATTTCATTAATATTAAATACCAATGTATGGTTGATTTCATTATGGTATTTGATGCTATAATAGATATACGAGCATATTAGATGAACCCTGGTTTCATCAGGCCATAATTAGGAGAAAATTTTAGTGTACTTCTGCTACTGTACTTATACATCTTAATGAAAATTGCATTGCTTGCTGTTGACATATATATATATATATATATATATATATATATATATATATACATTGTCAATGTAATGTCCTTTTAAAGATTAAAAAGAAGATATCTCATATGTAAAATTATTGTTTACTCATCACCAGACTTTGTCAATTAATATAGGTGCGAGGCACAGTCAGTGACAATTCTGGAACTCTGAAGGGAGTTGGGAGCACTTGGGGCCTGAGATTTTTCTGCAGAGGAGGGGGGACAAATTCAAGCAACGTCCTTATTTTCATACTACACCACTATTGTATACATAACTTAGGAATGAGTCTTAGTATAAGTATGTTACTTCACTAAATTAAACGGACTAACTTTTCATAGTAGCAGAGTTCTAATCTATTCTTGGCCTCTTTTCCTCTCTCAAGCTGTTGGACCACAAGAGTGGTTAACTTCAAAACAAAATCAAAGGGTTAATACTGACATCAATACTAGCAGAACAGTGTAATTTGTCTACTCTGATTTATTTTTTTCCTCTACAAAACTTAGAAAATTGGGAAGGGTGCACTGAGAGGCCAGCGAGGGTGGGCATTGGCCCCTTCTTCTCCCTCAAGGTATTTGTATAACTTTATCATCCAGTTTTTCCACATGTGTACATCCTATGCTCAGCTGGGACCACCACCTGTTTTACATGTTGAGGATAGCTGCTGATATCCTGTGAGGCACTTCCCAGTCAACCCACTGATGTACCTGGCTCCTCTGATGTGCTGGTTTGACACCGAGCACAAAACCTACTTTAGTATCTCTTAGGATGAGCCAAGTGCATATTGGGGTCACCAGAGATCAATTCCTCTTAGAACAAAGGCTCCATACTGACATTAAATTTGACTGGTGTGAATAAAATTACTATATGAAACTTCATTAAGTTAAAAATATATAATCCTATAATGAGAAATACCAAAATAAATAGCTTTTTGTATCAAATGTCTATTTTGTTCATGTTGCCGATTGAAACATCTGCCACCCAATTTTGGAGTTCAAACATTTTGATTGCAAAAACAGAAAAATACAGGAAAGACACTATAGAAATATCAGCCCCTAGCATTTGCATTATAAACAAACTAGTGCATAGTGCTATTTTCTTACCAGCATAGGCATATAGTAGCATAAAATACAACCTGTTTTGTAATGTATTTTTACTATATTGTGTGATGGGGAGGGTGTCATTTAGTTTAGTCCATACTGCAAAATATCAGAATGAAACCAAAATGGCCATATCTGATCTGGTGTTACAGTTATATATCTCAAGATTCTCAGTAAAATGCAAAGGGTTTGTAATCTTATCGATTCTGACCTGACATCTCGACTTCAGTCACTTTCACAAAATATGACTTCCTTCAGTCTTTTCTATAAATATTTTCATGGGAGCAGTTCAAATGAGGCTCTCCTCCTTGGTACTTCGATCACATTAATTTAAACGCACTACTTGATTAGCAACTAGGTCTCATCATTTTATTGTTGAAATAGCTAGATGTAACCATAAGTTCTATAATCTTTTTCTGGCACTTCTAACCTGTGGAACTCTTCCGATTTCTTGCTTTCTTGCTACCTACAATCTACAAAAATATAGATGTGACATCAATAGCCATCTTCCTGAACCCTGTTCTTTTATTTTCCTTTCTCCTAACAGGTGTATTATCATCCTCTTCCACCTCTAGTAAACCCTTGCATCTTATTGGCATTATTGCTTTGCTTGGGATGAAATGCTTATAAAAAAAAAAAATTAAAGTAGGCACTTCCCAGAAGAACTTATTTTCAGTTCCCTTATCATTTATTTCCAGTAAATGGCTATTTCCTATTTTTCCTAAACCTAGCCAGTACAGCCAGGCAACAATTCTATAATAATACAGCGGTGAAAGTGTAAGCATGTAATGTTTAAAACAAGCACATTAGTTAAAAAACACTGCAAAAGCCCTTACCTATAGCAGTAAACATTACTCTATATAAAAAGCAAGATATCAGTGGAGTTGTAAATGAAATCAGAATGTATACACACCTACTCTTTCACTAGCCAAATTTTTGTTTCCTTGTTTATTAGTATATCATATGTGCTGTCAAATATGACACTTTCAGTTTAAGGCTAACAAACACAGCACTAAAACCAAGTTTATGCAACATTTGACTTTGTTATAAATATAAAATTATAAGAAAAAGAATTGATTATAAATGTTTCTGTCTGTTTAAAGAAATAAAGACCAAAAGAGAACATTACCAAGAACATAGTTTTCTATTACTTAATATTTATCACGTGTTGAATAAACAAACTGATCTCAATTCATTGGTACTGTGGCATAAAGGTAGAGAACTCTGTATTTTGTTGTTGGAAAATATTGCTCTATAAAAATTTAGTCTGGGTACATGTGTTCTCATTTTTCTCATTTTGCTTCTATACTCAACTCGTATTGAGAGAAATAAATATCTGAAGGTAGGTTACTGGGGCATGAATTATCCCTCTCCCTGTGTGTGTATGTGTGTAAAGAGACATTAATATTTGTATATGTAATATAATCTATCCAGCTGTAAAAATATACACTGATATACGAATTTTATCCTTTTTACATTCAAGATATGTTTCAGCTGCTGACAAGAAACATTAAGTTTGCTTTTTCTTTTAATTTGTTTTATTTGCTAATTTTCTTTATAGGAGCGGTAGTTAGTGATTTAGTATGTTTACATCTATGTCTGACTCATTGTTCAGGACATTTATTGAGAACAGCTGGTACATTTGAATGGTCACTTGGTCATTATTTCTCAGATTTCATCTCACTTAACCTCGTTGGACCTAAGAACTATGGGAAGTCATAATTCCAAGGCATATTTTTTTAGCTAGTATGAAATCACACCATTTTTTTGTCCATCACTGATCATCTATAGCAAATGTATTTAGCATTTAGATTTTTTTATTTTTTGTTTTTTTAATAATCATTTCACCCCAAGCAAAGCAATAAAGCCACTAAGACTAAGACTAAGGGGCTACTGAGTATGAGAGAATATGAGGAAAAAAATAAATTATGAAGGAGAGAGAACAATAAAAAACAGAAAATGAATGATATTGCATTTTTGAAGATCAAAGTTGGCTGGAAAGCAAGAAGTAGAAGATAGTGCCACAAGCAAGAAGTGTGAGGGAAGGAACTATTACCATAGAAGTTACAATTACATCTAGCCATTTCAAGTGTAAGGTTATGAGATCTTGCTGCCAATCTAGTAACATGCTTAAATTAATAAAGTTGAGGTGCCAAATAGGGAAGCTCATCAGAACAATTACCATGAAAATATTTATAAAAAAAGGTACAGGGAAGCTACATTATGGCAGTGGGAAAGGGACTGAAGATTGATAGATTAAGTGTCACATTTTTTCATCGCCTGCTAAACGTTTCCCAGATATTTAGATTTTTATACTTGCTTGATTTTGATATCTCCAATTTGTAATTTGCTTGCTGAGTTGTTCTTTGTACTGACAACCATGCATTCTGTCTTACAGTTAATGTTAATCCTTTCTTCTCACAATGGGCCAAAAATGTCATTAATTGAGAATTGTTTTCAATGGAGCATCCAGGAAACACTAAAATACACCAATATTGTCATAGGGGGAAAAAAAGTGACATGTTGAAAAGTGTTAAAGATTTTTCAGTAAAAGTTTTACATTTCAGTTACTATTATATAGACATCTATAGATTAATTGTATATTTGTATCTACAAAGGGGTTCTGAAAAATTCTTGGCCCAGACATCAGAATTTTTTGAAGGGGCTTC